CCCCCCCCCCCCCCGCCACTCCTCCCGCCCTAACGACAAAGGAGAAAAACAGCTTACAACCCGAATACCTTGAAAAAGTGAGCTAAATGTGTAAAGTGCCCATTATCGACTGTAGTAAGCTCACAATATACGCATGAGAGAATATAGTGAACTTTAGGAGAGAGAAGGTGTTTGGGCAAAAAATGTAGGATAGGTGTAGGTGTGTTCTAGGCCATGGAGGAGGCAAGGCAGGCTATCACAACATAAAATAAGAAGCTCTTGTACCTCATAAAATTTTATATAAACAGTAAAATCGATAAATCGAAAACAAATTTCTTTGGATCACGCGATTGTCTTCTCCGTTGTTATTTTGACTTCATTACATGACATTACATTACAAAGTGGTGCAATGAAGGTAAGATTAGAGGTTTAGTGGGTCAGGGCAGGAGAAATATTAATTACTGAGACTTCCCAGGGGATTTGTGTCTTGATAAAAAAGGAATAAGTCAAGTTCGCTTCAAATATTCGGATAAATGACAACAATTTATTAACAATTGAACTACTGGCTTGCACTTAATCCACATTCTAATATCTCCACGAAATAACCTGATTTACACCCTCATTTAAAAAAAACTCAGGAGAGTAATTCACTTCAATTAAACCTCTGAATAAGATTTCAAAAATTGTACAACAAGCAACCAAAACTTACAGGTGTTTTGCAGAGTAACTCTTGATTGCATGGCTTGGGAAACAGTGACTAGCTATTTTAATTTTATTTGTGAATTTTGTGAGGCACTGCGATCACTTGAAACCAGTCGAACATTGGAGTGAGGGGCTGCACTTTGGTCAACAATTGAAAGGGGACCACTGAGGTGGTCAGTGGGGTTTGACCCAAGGTTGTCGCTATCAGCACTCGCTGATGATGAAATTGCAATGGCCGACGTTTTTCCAAGACTGCAGGAAGACTCCATGCGTAGAATTGGCCATCCTCCATCTGAACTCGTACTTGTGACCATGGCAAGCGTTTGTTTGGATTGTAAATTTTGCATCGTGGCTGTGCTAGTATCAAGTACCTTCTTGAAACAAGGCAAAGTCAAATTCATTAAATGTTGCAATTGAATCTGGATATAGTTACAAAAATGATTTCATGGAAATGAAGTAGGAGTTATGTTGAAACTAAGATCAAAGGCATAGAGGCCAATACAATATGGTGGATAATGACTCAAACCAATCTTAAAATTCCGAACTATCCTTTCCCTCCCCCAAAAATCAGAAAACAGAAACACGATAAACTGTCCCCTTCTAACAGTGGGGAACAAAATCAACGCTATTACTTAGAATGTTCTCTGCTCTTTCGCAGCATATTTCAGCTTATAATCTTTAAAGCTTATGAAATAAGTTCAGTGTACCAACCTAAATACAAAATATCATCAATCTTCAATGCAAAATGGTATTTAATGCTGAAGAGTATGCAACAAGATTGAGGAGATAATTCCAGCTATCAACTGACTTTCATGCGAGATAGAATACATGTGTGAGTGAGAGCATTTGTATAAACACCGAGGAAGAAACAAACGTTCCACTATGTATCTGATTGGGTGAATAATAATACTTGCTTATCGATTGCGGATAATTGGTTGCATCCAAAGACATAGTGAAGTTGGTGAATGCTTGAGATTTGGTATAGCTTCTCTCCCTCACACAATTCATGCCTTCAATTTCTTATGTCATAATGATTATGAGAATAGCAAGTTCTTACCCCCAAAAAACGTTTCACCCGTTTTGAAATAAAACTTACATTAGTGCTTTCATGAATATAACATACGGTTATCTTCACTTTCTCGTGTTTTCATACCTTAAATGTAGCTAAAGCGTTCATAACTAAGAGATTGCTCTCCCCAGGGGGAAGTTTGAAAAGATAAATAAGTGGTAAAGTGTGTTAAATGAAGCAGAACTCTTACAAGAAAGGGTTTCTTGCTCAATAGTCAACTTACTTTGTTAACTCCATTGGAGCTAACTTTAGCCAAAAGAAAGCAATCGGGTCCTAGAGGTTGGGAGAAAAACTTTCCATCTCCACCAGCATTATTGATCACCAATTCAGGCATTTCAACAAGGGGGTTGAAATCCATTATCTCGTCATTATCAGGGTCAAAATCATCGTCGTCAAGGTCTTCAGTCTCCTCATAGGCTGAGGTTGTGGTGTCTGTTATTGCAGCGTAGAAATCACCACCAGATTCTCTTGTTATCTCCAAGTAATCCCTACCTCTTCGAGACTCTACATCCCACCAAGAAGCCAAGTTAAATTTGTCCCAATCTCTCCCCCTGCCTACTAGTGATTCACCCTCCAAAGCACGCTCTGAAGGCACTTCCAGGGAGTGCGACAAATGCATTACAGAGTCGTTGCGAAGAGAGTAGTGCCGTGGATTTGGAGTGCTCTGTGCTGTTACGAATTCCAGAGTCTGCACTTGTTGCTGAATGGAGCGTAGAGGACTTTTACTTAATTTGAGTGGTGGACTTGGACATTGTGGAGGGAAGGAAGTCAACTCCATGATGCGTTTAACAAGGATCGGGTTGGCACGATCTATTTTGTGCTCCTCAAATAATCTGCAGAAGAAAAACGCAAACATAAACCATGCAGTACTTTCCCAAGTGGCTTGAAGACGTGGCAAAATAAGGAAGATAAACGTGAATAAGGACAGTGAATCACGATAATATTCGATTGTTGACAAAATTGTTTTGCAAACTGGCCCTGTGAAGAGAAATTTTAAAGTGGCAATAATTCGTGAAATTGCATCTAATTTTCTTTAAGGCTGTCACGATACAAACCTTTATCAAAGTCAGAAGATTGGGAGAAACTGGCAATATTGGGTAATGGTAAAGGAATGGAGAAGGAGATTATACTGTGTGACAATTACTAAAACTCAGTGCTGTCCCATTTAACCTATCGATAAACCTATTTGCCCTACTTCATTAATGACACATTAACATTTTGCAATAATGAGCCTCCATCACACAGCTGCGCGTGAAAAGATGACTAGCAAGTCGCAGGTCAAGAGAGTAAAGTTCAGCTGTCCACGTCTTGCGGTATGGATGGATAACCCATTAGGTTAATTCCGGTGAGCAAGTTAGATACGAGATAATTCGAGATCATATTAAAGGCAACTTCAGATCAAATTTCACTTCCTAAGTGAAATATCATAAAAACCTCTTCTCCTTCTATACTTCGGAAGTATTTTCTATTAATCTAAACACGGCTTCCATCTTCACCTATCTCTGTGTACTTAAGAAATTCAAAGCCCGGCATTGATCGTAGGTATTTTTAAGTTTATTCGAGCAGTTCTAGAACACTTCAGGTACCAGCAAACTATTCGAAACTGTGGTTGGTTCAAATTGAAGAAAACGACACTAAAATAATGTAGAGAAATGATGCAGGCAACTCAAGTGGAAATGCAGAGAAAGGCAAAAGAGAATCACTGAGCTTTATCTAGTTTCTATCAGTGTCATGGATAGGTATTGACATCTTACAAACCTTAGAAAATGGATACAAATAAATAAAACATAAATAAATATAAAGTAGCTTTATAAACACTTTAGGGCGCGCCTTTGTACTGTGAATCATTTTCTTACATTGTTCTTAGGTCTCACCTTCACAATGTTCAAATATTAAGCTGGTAAACTGTAAGTTAGAAAATTTGTTCCTCACAGCAATTTGGAGGAAAAACAAAAATGACAAGGCATTGCTAGCTCTTCTCAAATAAACACCATCAATCAATGAGCACGGTGCATGGCAGACAAACATTTGCTTCACTTGGCCATACAAATTGTGCGAACTTGAACTTTGGAATGCGAACCGCCCACTTGGCAAATATTGTTCAACCCGACACCAAAATATCAAATGGACAATTTTCTTTGACACCTTGACATTGCACTTTCTACACTTTTGATCACCCTCCTCCACCCCCTTGTCATTTTTGATGGACTTATTGTTATTCCAAGGCGGTTGCTTCTCACAATTAAAATCTGCCGCATTTTTGCTTTGCACTGGTTAATAATAAAAAGAAAATTAAAATGGAATAAATAAAATCTCGGTCATTATAAATCCCATATGGTATGTCAGTTAGGAATGACACCACCACCAAATCTTAATAACTGCAAATTTCGGTGTGCTATAGGGGGAGTTTTAGTGTCTTCAGGATCATGGAAATATAAATGAATGGAAATCGCTTCTGTTGAAATTCCCCATCTTGTAAGATTTATATCATTTCGACTACATCAATGAGGTCCAACATATTGAAAAAAAACATCTGGTGATATAATAGTTTTAGGGACAAAGATGCAGCGATCGAAATCAAGGTTCCAAGACCGAAATATTCCAACTTTTCACCTTCTCTCTATTCAGAAAATGTAATTTTGAAACCCATTAAATTTTTTACGAAGTGAAATGTTCTCAGTCATCCTTTATTCGTAAGGTTTTGGCAACCCATTTAACTAATTCTGTGAAAAAGTTACAAACTACTCCTTACCAGAATCTGTACTTAGCATAGACAAACAACTTCATTTCTCTAATTTAAGCTATGTAATGAAAAAACAATAGTGATCGTTAAGGACGAATTACTCTCTCAACCTTCCTCAAACATAATATTTATAAACTACTGAGCATGCGTACTCTATAAATAGATTACAAACATATGGTCAAGAAAATCAGTGTAACGTTCAAATATCGTACTTGGCTCCTGTCCACTCAGAGTAGAGATCACTCGCATTCCTGCAAATGAGATTTGCATTTTAAACAATTCGAGTCAGGTTTTTAATAGGTGGCCTAAATTAATAAAATCCCTGCACAGGGGCGGCCACGAAGGCCAAGAAATTCTTTGATTGTTCTTCTATTTTTCACTTTATTTCCCCCATAAACCCTCCACGCTACCCCTCCTATGACTTGGGAAATTTTACACCATACTGGAACCTTTTTTTCACTTTGATTAATAAACAAAGACACACACACACATACACATACACAGAGACAAATATTTCCAATTTATTTCCCACAGAATAAAGCAGGCTAAAAACCCAAACCCAAATGCTGTAATAAATGATGAGGCGGGGGGAGGAGAGGAAGGGGGTCAGTTTATAGTTATAACATTTTATGCCTTCTTTATAAGACAATCTTAGCGTGTCGCCAGAATTGTCTGAGTCTGTCATCTATGTCGCTAACTTTAGGGCTCTTTGAGGCGGTTATATTATACGACACTTTTGAGGAGTTAAGGCAATCGGGTTAGAGTGATCAGAAAGATGCGATAAGCAATTATCCTCGCTTAATCTCTTGCTATTAGGAAAGAGTGAGCAGGGGGGAGGAGGGAGAGTGAACAGATTGGGATCTATAATTTATTTAAACTCCGTAATTAAGAAAGAAAATTAGCGAAGGTTATCCTGTGTTGGTCAATTATAACCAGAACAAGTGTCATCAGTTAGAGGCAGTCAGCTGACGCAAAGCATGAAGTAATTCGATGAAATGAGTGTGTAAGATGTAGTATTAGTTCATTTAAGAAGTCAACTATGAACTTGCATGTTAGGGAGTTAAGCGTACAAGGAACGAAAAGGAGATAAACAAATGGGCAAAATCCGCAAGATTATATCAAAATAAGAATTAAAGTCAGGTAGTACATGCGGTGACTGCAGTTCCTCTTAATTGAATAAAGATCTTCCTCGCTTGGCTACGATCCTCTAGAGAATCAGATAATCGATTCGAACTGAGGAAAAGAGTTGTGCGATTAAAAAAGAAGAAAAGCAGAGTGTTGAAAACTGCAGAAGGGAAGCGGAGTAACCAATGAGTCGTCTTATTACGCAATGGCTGCAAAAAATATTCTTTTATCCAGGTGTTGTGGTAGACAGGAGCAAGTGAGGCAAGCGAAGAAGAATGCAATAATTTTGGAGTTTCAAATAGTATTTAAGGTGATGTTGAATAAGCAATAATTTAGCTTAGACAAATTGGGTAGAAATAATTGAGACAACCAGCTTACTAGATTGCAACCAAAGTTAAAGGGACAAATACTTAAATGAATGAGCTCAAGACGGAGGTCAAATATACCCTCAGTTTTTTTTCACTTTGAAGGATGCTTTTCTCTATTAAATGATAATAGTTAATGCCTACTCAGGTCTAGACTAATATTTACTTATTTATTTATATCAAATGGCAGGCGTCTTGATGGTTATCATTAGCCCTTTAGTCGACTTCAGGCTTCACAGAGGGGAAGGAACATCAGAGTGAACAAAGTCGAGAGGGGGAGGATGGAAAAGAAGAGTGTTTCAAAGATGTAAAAGAGACAAACACAAAGATAGAACAAAGGTAAGGTGAGTACTGAGAAAATATTCCAATATGGCATCGAGTGAGGTGATGGTAGT